GAAACAAATTTTCTACAAAACAAAATAGTATAAAAATATTCAAATATTTTACAGACTGATTTTTGATATCGTAACAATTGTAATCAATTACTTTTTTTTTTAAATATAAAAATTAATGAAAAACTCTTTAGTAATAATAATTCGAATAAAGTTACTATGATTCACCTTACGTCATAATGTGATTAATGTTTTCCGATAAATTATAATACTTCTTCTTCATTGATATTCATCAAGCATACATTATAATAAATGTCTTTCTATCTTTCTTCCTACACTTTCTATCTTAATACTCGAGTCAAATTTACAACGTATATACGAAGATTACAACTAGGACGATAGTTGATGATCCATTTTAAGCTTTCCAATCTGACAGCTGTGAATTACGAATCGGTTATTGTTCACATTTCAAATTAACATTTGAAATATTTATGTGTGTTTACTTTGTTTTATTCATACATTTTTAATATCATTCGATACAATAGTTTTTATATTTAATTAATCAACTTATCGATCTACAAATTGGTCAATCTATTACAATTAATAATTTAATTATCTTATCAGTTAATTATAAATCATCAAATTAATTTCATGATTTAAATCTTTAAAAATACGTTTATATCGATTATTTAAAAAAAAATCAAAAGAAAACGTATATTCATTTACTCAATTAATATGAGAAACTTACTAATAATAACTCAAAATGATGAATATAATAATAATAATAAAAATAAAAATAAAACACATACACACACAAATAAAATACAAATTGTTATAAACATATACGTATAATTTCATTTACTTACACGTTTACACGTGATTACTTTTTCCAATTCTTTACTAATTTTCATTACTCGTCTTTTATTCGTATGAAATATACATTTCATTCATTCATTCATTCATGCATGCATTCATTCATTCATTCATTTATTCATTCATTCATTCTCCCTCTCTTTTAATTATAATTCACAATTAAAACATAAAATGCAAATTATTAAAAACATATATATGTACAAACTGATTAAACTTACACGTTTACACGTGATTTCTTTTTCCTATTCTTTACTAATTTTCATTACTCGTCTTTTACTCGTATGAAATATACATTTCATTCATTCATTCATTCATTCTCCTCTTCTTTTAATTATTATTCACAATTAGAACATAAAATACAAATTATTATAAACATATATATGTACAATCTGATTAATTTTACACGTTAACACACGATTACTTATTCCTATTCTTCATCAATCTTCATTATTTGTTTTTTATTCTTATGAAATATACATTTCATTCATTCATCCTCACTTTCTTTTAATTATAATTCACAATTAGAACATAAAATACAAATTATTATAAACACATATATGTACAATCTGATTAATTTTACACGTTAACACACGATTACTTATTCCTATTCTTCATCAATCTTCATTATTTGTTTTTTATTCCTACGAAATATACATTTCATTCATTCATTCATTCATTCTTGCTCTCTTTTAATTATAATTCACAATTAGAACATAAAATACAAATTATTATAAACATATATATGTACAAATTGATTAAACTTACACATTAACACACGATTACATATTCCTATTCTTCATCAATCTTATTATTTATTTTTTATTCTTACGAAATAAACATTTCATTAATTAATTCGTTCATTCATTCAATCTCTTTTTCTTTCTATTATAGATTTAAAATAATATCGTAAATCTTAAAGCTCGTTATCGAAACATTGTTCTTTTTCTAATACACGTTCTTTCTCTTCCACGTTATCATCGTTGTGTTGTTGTCGTCATTGTCTGTGTGTGCTTGTAACGAACAACTAGGCGACGTTAAATTAATTGAAAGTCTGCAACATTTTGGACGTGGCAAGTTACACGGCTTCTCTCTCTCTCTCTCTCTCTCTCTCTTACTCTCTTACTCTCTCTTACTCTTCTCTTTTTCTTCGATGAAAAGCTCTGGACGTCATTTCGATCTGCTTTTAATTAAACAACCGAGGCTCTTTCGTGCCTTGCTCACTTCACTTTACGTGTGTAATACTTTACCTGTGTTATATATATATATATATATACGTGTGTCCTATGTGTGAATAAGAAAGAGTGAGATAGAAATAAATGACAAAGTCGGTGGTGGTGGTGGTGGGTGGTGGTGGTGATGGTGGTGATGGTGTTGGGTACGAAGGCGATGGTGGAACGCTTAACGCGATTAAAAAACGTTGCTGTGGCGATCAAAGGGCGGTGGTCTCGTGCGAGTTTTCCCGAGCTTTCAACTTCCACATAGTCTACAGGGAGAAACGTTGCTTTACGTAAGCGTAAGGGTGACGTGAACATTAGTATATGTGTGTACCATATATGTAAGAGAAAGAGAAGGAAAACTATATATGTATATGTAATGTACGTGTGTGTATGTGTGTAAAAGAGAGAGAGAGAGAGAATGAACATATGTGAACTTACAAGAAATAAAGTGTGTTAGTGTGTGTATGAATGTGTGAGAGAGAAAACCAGCATGTGGGAACGTACGAGAAATAGAGTATATGTGTGTATATGTGTGTGAGAGAGAACGAACATGTGTGAACGTACGAGAAATAGAGTATATGTGTGTGTATGTGAGAAAGAGAGAGAACGAACATGTGTGAACGTACGAGAAATACAGAGATCAAATAGGAAGAGGGAGAGAGATAGAGATAGAGAGAGAGAGA